CGATCCATGTTTCTCCCTCATCGATATTTCTCTCCCTCTCTCTCCCTTTCTCTTTCTGAAATCAATAAAAACACATTTTAAAAAAAGAGAGTAACTGCAAAAAAAAAAGAGTAAACAATAATTTCCAAATTAGAGGGCCTGACAGTCCAAGATTATTTTTAAGGTAAATGAAGAATATTTGCCTTTATAGTTTAACCCTAAAGCACAATAAGTCATTCATAATGCCTTGACTAGAGTAAACAGCATGGTAGTGGAGATATTATTACCTGATTCTACAAATTGGCCATCTCTTTAGTTCTATATGCCAGCCTCTGTGGTGGGGGTTAGGGAGACAGAGGTGAATCAAACCGTTTCTGCATTTTGAGGAGCTTCCTATCTTGTAGGGGAGGTTGATATCAAACCGATCACAATAAAAAGTACAATGATAGCTTTGAGGTCCAGACTTTGGTTTAAAATTTTGGGAAAAAATAACTAGGCATTAATTTCCATACCGGTTCAATGAAAATTATGAATAGGCCAATACAAACTGCTAGAAAGAGGAGAATGATTTAGGAGTTTGCTCATCTTTCCCACTAGGTCCAAGCAGGCCGTGGCTGTCACCGCATGGGGCTGGGGGCACCCAGGAACTTTATGGGAAAGCTTCTTGAGCATGATTTGTGTGTGAGAGTGATTGATGACTTTGGCCCCTTCAGGCTACCTGCCAGCGTCTTAAGAGTTATTGCCTTCAATATTAGTTGGTTGTATTTCTTTCCTACTTAAAAATCTGTAATTCTCCTCCCTTCTACCCCCATTGCCTCCTGGATAAAGTTCACCCCCTCTTCTCCTACTATTCCCCATAAAACTTTCCTTTGTGGTCCAACTGGTCTACTCACTGAACCCCAAAGTCAGGGGACCTTGTAATCATCCGGGTCTCCTTGCCTTTGCTCATGCTAGTCCCTCTCCTGGAATGCCTTCTCTGCTTCTCTTGACTGGTCTAACTAGTGCACATCCTTCAGGCCAGCCAAAATGATTCCCTGAAAACGCCAACCTGAAGTGACCGCTTGCCTCTGACAGGTCTTGTATTATCTGTTTGCAGGACAACGAAGCCCAATGACCATGGTGACCCTTCCTCATGGCCTTGACCTACCATTTTATTTTATTTTACTTTTTAAAATAGGTTTTTATCAATTTTGAGAGAGAGAGAGAGAGAGAGAGAGAGAGAGAGAGAGAGAGCTGGAAACATCAATGTGAGAGAAACACTGATTGGCTGCCTCCTGCACGCCCCCTACTGGGGACTGAGTCTGTAACCCCGGGCATATGCTCTGACTCCGGGAATTAAACCACAACCTCCTGGTTCATAGGTCAATGCTCAACCACTGAGTCACAGGGGTCGGGCTTGACCTGCCATTTTAATGTGTCCTGTCACTCAGCTTTCTGGGAAAACCTGTGTCCCCAAGAAGACCTTGAACTAACCTGGAGGGTTGGGCTGGGTGTCCCGCGAAGTGGCCTGTGGACCTTTTTTCTTTTTTTTTGGGGGGGGGGGGAGCTCATTGCTTTCCTCCGTGATGCGATTCATTGGGCCAACCTGGAAATGAGAGGGAGCCGTTCCCTTCATCTCTTTACGAAATTTCGGCACATTTGGCGCCTCGAATATTGAACAGAATCAAGCCTGCTACTTGGGGGAAAGAGGCAGCATTTTTCACTGTTGAGAATACTTTGCTCCAAGTTCCTTTTCTTTTTAAGGAACGCAGTACATCAAGGGGGAGGAAAGAGCCTCTGTGTGACTCTGCTTGTTTTTCTGGGAACAGTGAGCAGAAGCTGGCCTCGGTCCCAAAGAAGGAAAGAAAATGCTTTTCATAATGCGAACGGCCTTGCAAACTCGAGATCCGTGTGTGGTATGTGTCCTGATGTGTGTGTGTCTCAATGTCTGGTCATACTGTTCTTGAACTTTCCATAAGTGGAAAACAGACCTGGAATGGTGCAACCAGAACTCCGCAAGGAGCCCAGGCCAGCCCTTCACGGTCCAGGGCAGGAAGTGGGCCTGCACGGAACAGGACTTCTGAGGGACACAGTGATCAGCGGGACCCTGGCTCATCTTTATTTTTTTTATTTATTTTACTTTATTTTTTTAAATTTTTATTGATTTCAGAGAGGAAGGGAGAGGAAGAGAGAGATAGAAACATCAATGATGAGAAAGAATCATTGATTGGCTGCCTCCTGCACGCCCCCTACTGGGAATTGAGCCTGCAACCCAGGCATGTGCCCTTGACTGGAATCGAACCCAAGACCCTTCAGTCTGCAGGCATACGCTCTATCCACTGAGCCAAACCAGCTAGGGCAGCTGGCTCATCTTTAAAAGGCAGACACGGAACCCACCAGAGTACAGCCTGGCTCCCAAGACCAAGGCTGTGCCCAAGGGGCAAATTACACTGCTCCTTGGCTGTTGCAGCATCAGCAAAAGCAGAAACCACAGCGCTCCCTCCCAGCGCGGCCAGGAGGCCCGGGCCCCAGCCACTACTGAAAGGCCCCTGTCTGCCTGAGCACCTAGCCCAGACTGTGAACATGTCCATTCTCTTCTGAGGCTGCTTTGGTCTCTCCTGCTAGGGCCCTGGCCTTCCTGAGACGGCAAAGAGGAAACGGGAGTGCCCATCAGTTTGCAGGGTGTCTGTCGGCACTTTCTCTGGAGAACCTTTAACCTTGGGGTGGGAGGAGACTTGGACTCACAGGGGGTTCAGGTTCAGCGAGTGGAGAGGGACGCTTGGGCCTGGATCTTGATGGCACCCCCAGCCCCAGCTGGCCCTGGAAACTTGGCCTTCATGCAGGAGAGAGACCTGATGGGGTTCCCAAGGGCTTGCCCCAGGCAAAGGAACCCACTGATTCTGCTTCTGCCTCCCTTGCACCCCCCCCCCCCCCCCATCCAGCCCATCCAGCCCATCCGGGATCAGAATGCACCAGACTCTTGTCTGGGGGTTGTTAGCTAGCAACCCTCCAGCTGCCTGGGCTGGTGGAGACAGGGAACTTCCTCAGACAACCTGCTTTGGAGGAAACAGCCATTTCTGGGCCAGACGTGCACTTTAGCTCCCACTCTGTAATTAAGTGTGAAACAGCAATGAGCAGCTGGGCCCGCGGCTGCCCGGGCACTCGGCTCTCTGCCCGCGTACTGCCCGGCCTGTGTCTGGCCACGTAGCGGCTCAGCTGACCTCACGTCCCCCCCTCCCCTCCCTCCCTCCCCTCCCCTCCCTCCCCTCCCCTCCCCTCCCCTCCCTCCCTCCCCTCCCTCCCCTCCCCTCCCGAGGGGCTTCGGGCTTTACTCCTAGAGATGCTGGGTTGAGGCAGAGAAATAACGGAGTCTCTTGTGGGCACGGGGCATCAGACCCCCCTCAGGGCCCTCGCCTGGGAGCCCGCTTTCACGTCCTGCTAATGGGCCCCAGGCCACAGACCCTGTGCAGCTGAACTTCTGGCTGGTTGGTCCTTCCATGATGAAGGGCCAGAGACCAGGGCTTCCCAACTACGGCAGGGTAGGCCCCCGCCTGAGGCATCAGAATATTGCCTTGGTCTCCAACATGGGCTCATGGAAGGAGGCAGTCTGGACAGGGCAATCAATGAGGCGCCTGGGGGAGTCCCACGGCCCACCGCGGGGGCCACGGAGAAGTGTCTATACAGGGTCTCCCCATTGGAAAGCCCTATGTTCTGTGAGCCCCCTTTTTAAGGAAATCAGTGGGACTGATTTCCAACTCCTGAGTGCTTTCTGCGGCTCTAAGAGTCTGAGCAGCCGTTTTAAGCTGCCCCTGAACAGCTGGCTGGGGGGTGGGGAGGGGTGAGGAGAGGGAGAGGAGGGGAGTGGGGGGAGGTGAGTGAACAGGAGGAGGCTGACTTTTGAGAAGGATCCGGTCCAAACTTGGGGCTGTGGACACCGGGCCCCCCCAGTTCTGTGCTTTTGAGGTAACGGTTTGGAGGCCATGTTTTCTGGCACCCCTTAGGGAAGGAAGGACACTTAAGAATTCAGGCGTTTGGATGAGGGGCTGTGGCCCTCAGACGGCAGCCTCTCAGCCTGCAGCCCCGCCCGGCCTTCCCACGGGCACCCACTCCCAGGCCTGTGGGGTGGGGGCAGGAAGCACACCCAGAGGGAAGTGTGCAGCCCAGCAGCAGTGCCTGCCTGTGTGAGGGAGGGCCAGCTAGAGCCGATAGATTTGAGAGCCCTCCCCCCTGCCCAGCTTCTCAGGAAGTGTTGACAGATTGGCTGCATTTGAAAGTTTTCGGTGCAGTTTTTTATCAGGCAGATGAGGGAGGCCTGTCCCCACGGCCCCTCCCTCTTTGTGTTGTGCAGCTCGGGAGACTGAGGCCGGAACGGCCAAGGGTCCTGCCCGGGTCATGCATCGGGGTAGGAGCTCCTTGGCCCTGAGGTTCTTGGGCAGGAGGCAGGGCTCGCTGCTGCTGAGACCCGGTCGTTTGCTGTGCGGGACCCTTGACCCTGCTCACAGGCCACCTCTTGGGTGGGGTGTCTGGCTGGTCCAACTCTGCACTTACAGGACAGGCCGGGGGCTGCTGTCCAGCATCTCGGTTTGCTCAAGGCCTCAGCCTGACCTCTGGGTCCGGGCAGGGCGTGGCATGGACTCTGGCGTGAGGATTGTGGGTCCCGATGACCCGGGGCTCAGGTAGCCTACAGAATACTTCCACTGACGTGTGAAAGGGATGGAGCGCGGGGCTCTGTCCCAACAGGTCTCATGGCCCGGGGTGCACCTTCTCTCCCCCTTGCTGACTCTCCCTCTCTCCCAGACAACAGTTTGAGCAAACCTAGCCTTTTTGACTACTTTGTCTGAGGACAAACTTGTAGGCCAAGGGGAAACCCAATTACCGTGTCCTTTTGTCTTTTTTGAATTCCTCCCTAATCTATCTATTAAAAACAACCTCGAGAGTGGGAGCGTCGGCGACAACCCCTTGGCCTCGCACGGGAGGGGGCGACGCTGAGATGGGGGCGGCGGCCAGCGGATCGCACTCTCTTTGTGGGCAACCTGGAAACTAAAGTGACCGAGGAGCTCCTTTTCGAGCTTTTCCACCAGGCGGGGCCAGTAATAAAAGTGAAAATTCCAAAAGATAAGGATGGTAAACCCAAGCAGTTTGCATTTGTGAATTTCAAACATGAAGTGTCTGTTCCTTATGCAATGAATCTACTTAGTGGAATAAAACTTTTTGGAAGGCCCATCCAAGTTCAGTTTAGATCAGGAAGTAGCCAGGCCTCACAGGATGTTAGTTTGTCATATTCCCAGCATCATGTTGGAAATTCAAGGCCTACCTCCACATCTCCTAACAGACATGAAAGGACTATGGATAACATGACTCCATCACCACAGATAATTCAGAGATCTTTCTCTTTTCCAGAAAATTTTCAGAAACAAGCAGTGATGAACAACGTTTTGAGACAGATGTCATATGGCGGGAAATTCGGTTCTCCACATCTTGATCAATCAGGATTTTCCCCATCAGTTCAGTCACATAATCATAGTTATAACCAGTCTTCAAGCTCCCAGTGGTGTCAAGATACACCATCATCACTGCGTAAAGCCAGGCAGAGTTCTCATCCCTACCTAGCAGACAGACCCTATAGCCGTGAGCAGCATTACAGAGGACACAGAGATGATTACTTCTATGAAGACAGGAATCACGATGGCTGGAGCCATGACCACGATAACAGGAGAGACAGCAGTAGAGCTGGAAAGTGGCATTCATCTCGAAACTAGCAAGTGTTCAAAGGACATTGTTTTTATAGGGTCATCCTAGGCCCTTCGGACTAAGTTGGTCTGGAAATGTTTTGTTAAAACTGTACAGAGCAGTTTTATAAGATGCCACATTTCTTTATAAAACTTTTAAAACATGTAGCTATAGTCTAATACAGAAATGAGAAGACTTGTGATTACTGTTTTTACATTAATAACCTTTCACCTCAGGGTTTCATGAAGAAAAAGCGTTCAATGCGCAAAAGAAAGTTCCGCAATTTCTAATCTTTTTAGAAATTGAGGAAGGCATGTGTTATATGTATTGGTTGTATCATAAAGCAAATATTTTAATGATCTATTCTCTATTGTATTGCAAGGACCTGCTTATTAGTGAATCACATTTTGTGTATATAATAGAAAACATTCAAGTTGGTAGTCAAAAATACAGTAGTATTTTGTTAACAAATGAGAAAATGTAATTTCAATGATTCGTTTCACTAACATTTGAGGAAGATTATTGATAAAGTTTGAGAATAATCATATTGTTTAACTTCATAGAGAATGTAGGTGTATAAGGTCTGTGACATGCTCTTTGAGTCTTGCTCTAATTGGATATCAAGTGTAAATCTACACTTCCTATTTCATTCTAAAATATTAGAATTTTCTCATTAAATCGTGTTTGACTGAATAACTGAAGTCACTCAGGAAGTTAAATATCTGTAAATGTTTTTTCTTTTTAATTAAAAATTCAGTGTTAGTGTAAATTCTCCTTTTTAGGAAGAACAAAAATGCAAATACAGAGTCAGATAAAATGATTTATGAAAGCATGCTTGTTTGGGAAAGGTTCACAAAGCCTTTAAGTGCTGCCTCTTACTCAGGGTATGTGTGCAAGGACACGTTTTATTATAGGGGTTGTACATGTCTTTCTGTTTGAACATTTGAAAGAGTTAAGTCTTACACACTCTGATTTTAAAATGTTCAAATCCTGTTAAAACTTTTATGTATCAAGATGTTTCCCTTTAATTGTAGAACTTAATATACAAAATCACTCTTTGATATATTTTAATCCTTTTTAATAACTATAGCATTTTTATACTGTTACTTTTTAATATATTGAAAACGTAAAAAAAACCCCAAAAACAACCTCGAGTGGGCTCCTCACTAAATGGGCTTTAAGCAGAGGCATTAGCCACGTGACCCATCCTCCCTCGGGGCAGACACGCAATTTATCTTTCAGAGAAGCACAGGGCGGCTTAACACACCAGCCTGAGAACAATGGCCATCGCCAGGTCTGTCCCCATGAGGAGGAAGAGGCAGAGCCAGGGGCTCTGACCCCATTAGGGGGCAGCTTCCATAATGGTGACAGCTTAACTGCAATGATTTAGTAGAGGCGGCAGGGGAAGGAGGCACACAGGATCGCCAGGGGCTGAGCAGAGCTGGCAAGGGGTGACCCCTCCTTTTCATGGAGGAGCCTGTACAGATGGGCTCAGCCTCTTTCTTCTCCCTCAGTGGCAACCCCCCGCCCCCCCAAGTCTCCTTCCAGGTGCTGCGAGGAGGAGGGTGTCTCATGGGATGTCCACTCCCCTGTGTGGTCCTGGGTGCAGTTTCCGGGGCTGCCTCGAAGGGGTGGGGGTGGAGGGGTAATATTCCTGTGGTTGGCAGGAGGTTGGCACCTGGGCACTTTGGTGGCACCTAAGCACTTGGCCCTGTAGCCGTTGCTGCCCTGCCCCACAACCACTGAATCGTGGGCCGGACCAGGCCACAGACACGGAATTGAATCCATTCTTTTTTCTTCCCAGAGGAAATGGGTGTAATTGCTCTTCCTCAGCCGAACTTGGGAGAAGGCTGACTCTTGCCCTGGGACTCGCAGCGCCAGCCCCTGCCCTGGGCCAGGCAGAGTCAGGTTGGGCACACGCTGTGAGCCAGGCTCTTTCTGCCAGCCCAGGGCATCACCCTCTGCTCCCTGCTCTGCCCTGGCCCTGTCGCCAGGCCCAGTGCCCAGGGACCTATTCAGGCTGCAGAGGTGGTACTAGGAGCAGAATTATGAGTAACGCTTCCCAGAACCACAGAGCCTCAGGAAAAAGAACCACGTAGGAATTTAAAGCGTTCTGATGTCCACGTAAGAAACGTCCAAACCTGTAAGAATTTTTGTGAGTTTATTTGAGCCAAACTGACAATTGCCAGTAAGCAAACTCTCAAAGGATTACGAAAGTGCTCCAGGGAATGGCAGTTCTGCACCTTATTTTATGCATTACAATCAAAGGAGGGGGCAAAAGGGAGAAACAAGAAATCCATTGGTGGTAGATTAGGGAGGCAGGAGAAGGCAAAGGGTCGCGTGGGCATGGGGAAAGGGGAATCTCTGGGATTGGATAAAAAGTAAAAGGAATAGAAATTATTACGTTGGTGATTCTAGGGTAGTTAACAGTTAATTGACATGATAACAATAACAGTGAGGGGTTTTGTGCTCTCTGCTCTGGCGCTGAGATCGGCCCTGAGGGGTCTGGAAAAAGGAAATTACGCTGACATTCCAAAGGTTGGTATCACAGATGCAGAAGGACAGCAGACAGGTTCAGTTAAGGTAGAGACTGACCTTTGTCGCCCAGCCGGTGTGGCTCAATGGTTGAGCGGCTACCTGTGAACCCAGAGGTCGCAGTTTCAGGGCACATGCCCGGGGTGTGGGCTCCATCCCCAGTATGGGGTATGCAGGAGGCAGCCTATCGATGACTCTTTGCCATCATTGATGTTTCTATCTCTCTCTCCCCCTTTTTTCCCTCTCTCTGAAATCAATCCTATATAATAAAAGGCTAATATGCAATAGACCAAATGGTAGAACAACTGAACAACCGAACAATCAGTCGCTATGATGTGCGCTGACCACCAGGGGGCGTGTGCGGAACATGGCGGTTGTTGGCTGCAGTGGGATGGTGGAGCAGGTGAGCGGGGACACCAGACCAAGGTGGGGTGCCGGTCGCTGTCATTGGGGCAAGCCTCTGGTGGTTACGGAAAATTCTTTGCTCCCATGCAAAGCCATCCCGCCTGGCACTTGCACCTGCTGTCGGCGCTGGCCCCGCTTGCACCCACTGCTGGTGCCAGTCCTGATCCCTTGGTGCCATCAGCGGGTGCGAGCAGTGGGGGCTTCTCTACCTCCCCCTGCTCCTGAGGGGCGATTGCAGTGGCAGACAGGGGACAGGGGGCTGCAGCTGGAGAAGCCTGGTGGGGTCACGGAGGATGGGCTGAGACCCGCCCCTGTGCCTACCGCAGCCTCACCGCCTACAGTTCCTTTCAAGGGGCACGAATTCGTGCACTGGGCCCCTAGTAGAGATATATTTAAAAAAATGAAATTTAAAAAAAGGGTAATAAGCGAGGGTCAGGGTGCCCTGGCTATTCCTGTGAAGAACCAGCTTGGCAAGCCCACCACTGCCTGGGAGGAGCGGTGACTTCCCCTGCGCTCACAGGGGCCAATGCTGACTCTGGGAAGGATTGTGCTGCTTGATTTTTGCAGACACAGAAGGGCTTGCTCATGCTTGGCTGCACTGCAGGGAGCTCAGGCTCTGGCTTCCTGGGGGCCTCTAGGCCAGGTCCTCAGCTTTTCTGCCCCAAATCCACGCACCACATCCCCAGGCGCGGCCTCCTGTGTCGTGGGCCTGACTGGGGCTCCTGGAGAGGAGGCAGCCAAAGCTGGGGACCGGGAATCCATAACTGCTGGGCACCGGCCCCGGGAGAGCCCGGCAGGCCATCCCCAGGAACAGTCTGTCAAAACAGGGCCCCCGATCTTTAGGAGGGAAGGCTCCAAGGCTGACTTTGGGGTCTCCTGCCCTGTCCTGGGAAAGGGCTGACCCTGCCAGAAGTCTGTGAGGCCTTAACCCAGCTCTGTGGTCCTGGAACCCCTTCTTCCCGGCCCTCCCCTCCGCCCAAGGGGCCCTTCCACATTCCGAGTGCTTACTCAGGACGTAGAGGAGCAGGCAGCTTCGTCCTAAGGCTTCCCTAGGCTCAGCACTGCTGTTTAAGGCCATCTGGCTGGTCTGATATGCTCAGCTCCAATCTTGTCCAGAGTCACACACACTCCTCGTCCCCCTCCTCCTTCTTTTAAATTTATTGACTTCAGAGAGGGAGAGAGAGATAGAAACATCAGTGATGAGAGAGAATCATTGATTGGGTGCCTCTTGCCCACAACCGGGCATGTGCCCTGACCAGGAATCGAACAGTGACCTCCTAGCTCATAGGTCGATGCTCAACCACTGAGCCACATTGGCCGGCCTAAAAAATTTTAATTATGAAATGATTAAACATACAGAAAAATTGAGACAATGGTATAATAAATCCCTTATGCCCATTGTCTAGATTTAACAACAATTAATATTTCGCTATATTTGTTTCATCTATATTTTTACTTAAGTATTTAGGAACAAACTACTGATACACATTTTACCCTAAACACTTCAGTTTGTATCTCTAAGAGTAAGCTTATTCTTATTCTGGGATTGGATAAAAAGTAAAAGGAATAGAAATTATTACGTTGGTGATTCTAGGGTAGTTAACAGTTAATTAACATGATAACAATAACTGCCGGGAGCCGGTCCATGCTTGCTGTTTCAAGGGACCTGGCATATATGGCATACTGTTTTTAATATGTTTGCTCACCTTCTTGGCACTATGTGTTTTAACCAAGGTCTCTGAGAAAGGTTGTTTCCCCAGGTAGGGATTTTCCCCTGAAGTTAGGGAGGGAATAAAACCTCTTAACTAAGTGCCAGGCGGGTAATTAATCACTTTAACTACGAACAATCATGCTTAAGCTACATAATCTTTACTCCCTGGAATGGAAATAAGAAACGCCCTAACCTTTGTAATAGAGATTGATAGGATTGAATCAACTGGTATAAATACAGATGTAACAAGACAGCAAGACTCAGAACTTAGAATACAGAGCTTAGAACACAGAACTAAGAAGACAGAACCTACAGACAGAAGAACTTCGCTGGAGAGAACATGGCAAAAGATCCTGGACTGAACCTGACTACAGAAATTGGCAAGAGAACCTGACTAGAACTTGGTGACTGAACCTGGCTGGAGAACCTGGAGAACCTGGGGAACCTAGCAAGAGAACATGGACACAGAACCTAGCTGGAGATCTGAAGCAGAACTTCGCTGGAGATCCAGACCAGAACTTGGCTGGAGATCCTGGCTAGAGATCCTGGCTAGGCTGCTGATCAACTGAACGCTGTCTCTGTGTCATTCCTTCTTCTCCGACTCCGTCTACACCTTTGGGGACCCCTGGACCCGCTGGGGTTGGACCCCGGCAAATAACAGTGAGGACCCCGGCAAATAACAGAAGAGTTTTGTGCTCTCTGCTCTGGCGCTGAGATCGGCCCTGAGGGGTCTGGAAAAAGACCATATCATTGTTGTAGCATCAAAATGAACAATTTCTTAATATTGTCTAACACCAAGTCTGTATTCAAGTTTCTGCAAGTGTCACAAAACTGTCTATTGTGGTTGGCTTACTTAAACTAGAATTCAAGCCAGATCTACATGCTGCATTAGGCGGTGAAAACTCTTCCATCTCTTAAACTAGGTCTGTGC